CATATTTTTACAATAGCAATTGAAAAATAAAAGAAATTCGTAGTCACAATTTTTTTTACAAGCATTCAAAGTTTGAATTTTGACAACATATGTAAAAATCACGAAAATTCGCAAACTATTTCAAACTAGAAATTCATAAAAAATTTTCTTTTTAAATCTAAGATTTGAAAATTTTTAATAACTATAATATATCCTAGACAGACAAACCGTCTTCGCTGAGAATCGTTTTTCGTATACAATGATATAATATCATTGGATTCAAATTTAATTCTATCCATTACAGAAACCCACTTGTTACCTACTGTACAGCAGAGCGACATCCACGGCTTTTTATAAATTAATTTTAACAATTTTTTATTATTTTTTTATTAAAGCCATAAAATAAACTAAAAAATATCTTTAATTTACTTCTTTAAAATAAGGGTCATAATAATATACTCATAAGCTATATACAGACAATTGATAGAATTTTTCGCATTAAGTATAGAGTGGACCACACCCCGATTACTATTTATATGGTCACGGATGTACCTAAATACAATTTAATTGAAGGGTGGACGGCTGGTGAATTAATCACCTTAATCACTTATAAGTTATAATTGAATGTATAAATACATTTTTGTACTTTGATTTCAGACCAGATGTGCAAACAATTTCTTATCTAGTAAATAACCATATACATACCTAATTATTAAATGTAGAATTATGCGTCATAATACGTACATGAATATTATAATATTATACGTGATATAGACTCAACCAAAAATGTTAACATTCATATATATATATTAACACTATGGTCTTTGAATCATATAAAGTTAATATTTTTAGAGACCATGTTAATAGATAATAATATATACAGACGAATAGACGATACAGAATCATGCATTGCCATGCAAATATAATATTTATTAATAACTAGTATATTAAATAATATCACGTAGTTAAAATGAACAAGCGATACAATTTTTTGGTTGAATTATAGGTTTTTAAATTATCATACGTATTTTATTGAAAAAGCATAAACGATTAAATGTTATGTTTGCGTAAGAACTGTAAAGTAATAAAATGTCTAAAATAATTAAAAACAAATACAAATTGCAGAATGAGAATGCCCTATAACTACTATAATACGTATAGGTTAGTAAATCTTATTAAATTGTCTTTAAAAGTCTTGTCTTTTTGAATTATTATTATTATTATTTTTGTCTAGTTTTAAGCTAATATAAAATTAAATTTTTTTTATCTTCATACTTCATAAATTCTTTATTTTTATTTAGGACCACACGCATTTTCAATTTCTTTATATTCTAAATAATATTTTTGTGGTTTATTATATGGTTTTCGATGCTCGATATTATTACGATTGTCGAAAGGGTAGCCCTTAAAAGGGCTGTTTTTTCCGATGTAGCCAGGAGGTYGTGAGACATTTGGTTGTCGGTTTGGTGCTGTTTCGTTTCGTGTAGACATTGTTAACTCGCGTTGTTAATTTTGAAATACACTACTTACAGGGGAGACCACTAGAAGGTACAGCACCACCTCCCCCTTTTTGTGGTAATTTAAATTTATAGAAACAAAATTTTGCACGAGTATTTGATTAATTATACGTATTTAAAGTTTTTTTTAGGAAAATTAGTTGCACGTGATACAGGGGTACACCACAAAATGTTGGTCTACTACTCAATTTATTATAACTTTGCGTTGCCATTCTTGTACAGTATTTTTGTTTACAGTAGCCAAAAAAGTACTAAATATCTGAAATTTTTTCCATTTATTTTATTTTATCGATCTATTTAGTTTAGGTTTACATGATACATTAAATTATAATTGCATTGTACATTATTATTATGCATTACGAAATTGTAACTTAATTTCTTCCACCCGGCACATTTTTCTTCATTRAAGTACTTTATATATAATAGGAATTGTCGTGTTCACTTAGACTTACTAATTTTGAGCATCCGGTACTCATGAATATGAAATATAACAAGTAACAACGTAAATCCATGCGATTGGCAGGACGATAATTGGCTATTATATAAAAAAAAAAAATACAAATTTTATCACATTAATACTGGACAGATTGCGTCACAACTAAATTTATACTCTACTGTTCAGTTTTCTAAGTGTAGGAGTTCAATTGGTCGTATTATATTCTATAACTTTCTCATTAAAATGCAATAAATAATTGCGTAAACTATAGAAAAATCCGTTTTTAAGTTTATCAAGAATTGAGGACATAGGTACAAAATAAAATTCTTATTCCTTTATATTTTAGCTAACAAATATTAGGTACCTATAGATTAAGAAATGGTTAAGATGATGTGATACCCGCATGTGTATTCTCTGAATGTTCTTATTAAGAATTAAAAGAAAGTCTTTATATTGGTGTTAAAAATATTTAAAATTCTAAATTTTCATCGTCRCTAGATTCAAATATAGGACAAGTTTCATTTGTAACTCATCAAAAATGATTTTATGTGTATTATTATATTGAATAGTAATTAAGACGATTAAAACGATCGATTTTTTATGGAAAAATATTATTATTATTATATATTGGATAGGCTTGCCGCACGATTATTTCTGGGTCTGAAATTTTTAGCCAATCCGTCGCTGTCCATATTAGGTACATTTTTTAGTGAAATAACGATAAAATATCATCAAATACTTACGAAACAGTATTCATTACCGTTTTTAGTAATCTAACTAGCCATTATTTATTTTATATTAAAATAATGTTTAACATTTATTCAACTTATGAGATGTTAAGTGGAGTCAAATTGAGAAATGATATTGGAATATTGCAGAGGTATTCAAACTGTGGGTCCCGGCTCCCAGGGGCGTCGCGAGAGTTTGCAAAGGGRACAGCGTCAAAGCACCGAAGATCAACATCATACTTAGGTCTCGTATAATATTATACAATAAAATAAATATTATTTGTAATTATTATGGAAATGAAAACGACACACCTTACGACGCGACCGTTTGATGTTTTATTTCTATAGGTAGTACTTAAGTCACTGTTATTATCACCCATACAACATATTGRCCATATTGTATCTGTGTGTTGTTTTAATTTTTTCATAATAATTTGGAAGCCGTCAAAATATTGTGAACACCCAAAGGAGTCGAGGGATGAAAAAGTTTTACCTCTGGAATATTTTGCTACTTATAGAATATGTAATACTAATACATATTATTTATGTTATGTGTGGCGTAAATTGTTAATATATTATTATATTATTATCTTAACGAACTTTTCACTATATCAATAGTTTTATTTTATTTTATATAATTTACATTAAAACCTTCTAGAACCCTATACTTGAGAGATTTTGCCCAGGAAGGCAAGGAATAAACCTATTATAAACACACCCACTAACTGAAGTTATTAATAAAATGTTATTGTGCCATTATGATTATTATAAAAAATTAACTACCCGAGAGTAAAAATGAAACTGGAAACTGGAAATCATTATATTATATATTTATGTGTACCATGTAAATATATACAATACAACACACAACAATAAATCAATTGAGTTATACTGCAGCGTACCTATATATTCGGAACGAGGAAGAAATAATAATAAATACCTGGTAGTCGATATACTGTATAGTGTTTACATGTATTCATAACTTTTTCGAATATTATTATGACTGTTTATTACTTTAAAATTCTCAGTTTTCGTATGCTTACTTTTTTTTTGTACAGCCAATAACAGTGTAAGTTTAGCGAGTATAATAATATAGCAGACGTTGTTATACAAATACTTTACACTTGGTTCCAGTCGTACCTATTGATTTTGTCGAAATTATTATTCTTAATATTATTAGTTATTACGTATTATTATTACGTAATTTTTACAGATTCCCGTTGACTCATTATTCGTGTAGTGGTAGTGAAAACCACGCGATGGTGGACACGCGATCGCACCAGGGCGAACAGACACGGATGATGAAGGCCACCGACGATATTAACAACACCACGTCGCTTCTACTTYTGGTCGAGTGTCTTATACACACAAAGTGAATATTTTATTTTTCTTAGTCATAACACAAACACATTAAACCAATATTATCTATTTATTATCTACTATGTCTCTATACCAATCAACACGTTCTGATGATAGAGGTGGTTCACACGTCCCAAGGGTGATGATGGGAGGAGAGAGGTTGGAAAAATTATACATATACATAACACAGCATATTATAACATAATATAATATATATATACGTTTATCCGTTGATAATGGTTAGATTTAAAAGTAATAATTTCAAGTACGATATATTTCACACAATTATACTTTATTATACAGTACAGAAATTTTTATTTATATAATAAATGTTGTGTAATTTGATGGGCATTATTTACACATTTACATAAGCCAATTGAAGGGGTACCTAACTTATGACACTCTCCCCTACCGTACAACCACCACTGCTGATGGTGATTTGTAATTTTATTATAATATTTTATAATATTTTGTTTTGTTTCTCTTTTCTCCAGGTGGGAAGGAGCTTCGGTGCAGTGGACGGGCGTTACGAATGCGGTGAATTAATAAAGCATAACAATATAGTTACATTATTATATAGCGRMAGTAWACCTACAATTATTCATTATTCAACTACAATTTGCGTGATTACTGAAATACCGATAATTCAACTGCAAATAGACTATAGTATATGTATATTCCATATAAATGTTGTATACCTATATAATATATTAATAATTAATAAAATATTTTGTGTGTTCAATTATAAAAGAAAAAACTTAATACGATACATCCTGTAGTATAATAATATATTTTTATTAAAAAATAACAGGTATTAAATCACTTTATGATGCTCTAATTAATTAAAAAAAAAAAAAATACAAAGAAACTAAATTTAAATATAGAATACTGAAAGTTGTTTTTGGGAACAAGTAGGTTGTATAATAATATTATGGTGAATAATGTCTATGGATTGAGTTTTTCCAATGTCTAATATAATATACGACATAATATATTTATACTAGGTATATATTTTTTTTTATATACTGGAAATACATATAATATATAAATTGAAAACAAAATAACAATAATTTKGCTGTCTACAATATTACGTAAAGTCAACAAATAAAATTTATTATATTGCATTTTAAACAAAATATTCATAATTAATGACGCTGTTAAACCGTTGAAATCCAAATGGTTTCCATTTAAAACCTGTAAAATAAAATTTAACTATTAAGCATGAGAATTTCTAAATCCAGAGCTATGAAATAAATTGCATATTTTTAATGTTTATTAAGAAAACCAAAAAGAGTACAGAAAAKAAAAGATGATCCCATTAGACCCACGAATTTAGAAATTCATATTTTTACAGATATTTTTAAAATTTCTATAAGACAAAGTCATACTTAAAAATTGATCTAAATTAATTAAATATCATAATGAAAAACCTAGTAGCATACTTTAATAAGTCTGTTTCAAGAAAAAAAAAATTAAAATAATAACTCGATATATCGATTTATCATTATACACGAAATACATTGTACCTCCGTGGTACTTGGATGAAAGGAAACAGTGACCGCTTTCCTAAGTTCTTCAGTATCTGATGGTTTTGCGACAGCACTTTCTGATTCTCATCCACGTGTCGCCGCGCCACCTCATACATTAATTTTTGCCGGAGCACGTCCAGCGAGTTGACGATGGACAAACTAGGACGACTTCTTGGTGACTCGCCTTGCATTGCACCGTTCCTCTTTTCGATGGTAGCCATGTCAAAAAAGTTTTTCTATAAAAAAACAAAATCAAAACTAAAAATATTTACGTGTTATTTTATCGTTTAATTTCAATCACTTCTTATTATTAAATAAGTAATGTAGTGCAAAAATAAAATTATATATTTGTTCCGCYAATATGTTTTATATAATTTATTGGATTACGAAACTTCTATATTGTATACATATTGTATTTTATATTAAACTGTCACCGTCGTATACAAAATACAGGCAAAATAAAATAAACATAGATGTGCGTCAATGGAACCTTTTTTTTTATATTCGTTTGGATTAAGGTAAATCTTTACTATGTTTATTGTTTTTATCGAAACCCCATCGTAAGGTTAAGTTATCTCAGCCAGACAATGTCTGAAAAATAACACTTTTCCTGGTACAAAAATCTTTGAGATGATAATGAAATCAAATTTTTAACGGAATAACGAGTCTGGAAAAAATGTTGATCGATACTATTGTACAAATACTTTTAATGATCACAGAATGATGTTTTTTAATTTTTATCAAATCCTTTGAACGTTCATGTAGAGATTTAAAAAAAAATTTATTTTGATTAAATAAATAATAAACATTTTTTACATAGGTAACTAATTATAAAAACATGAACATCTTGTACGCAATATCGGCATCGATAATGTAAAACTGTGCAAGTATACAAGACGGGACTGTAGCTACGGGTAGGCGCAAAGGAGGGGGCGTTGCCCTCCGGCCTCCCTATGACCAAACGTTGCCCCCTCTAAAAATATTAGAAAGGCTCTTAGGTAGGTATATATTTTACTGCTTATATCATTAATAATAATGCCCCCTAAAAATTGTTTGCTCCTCCTGACAATTTGGTCTAGCTGCGGGCTTGGATACAAGATGACTGAATCACGTAGAATCAGCGGTTGATAAGGTATGCAAAATTAACAATAGTTCGTTTTAAATATGAGTTATAACTGAATGTATTATTCATCTATTAACAATGTATTTATACTTTCGATTTATGATATAAGTGATATAACTTTGGAAATTTGAATAATAATAAAATATAATAATAATTTATAATAATATAAAATACTAGCTGGTTATGCATGGCGTTAATCAATAACAACCTTATATAAACAAACAAAAAATAATCGTTTTTCCTAAGCCAACAAAGTATTATAGTGTAGAAATTCGTTTTGAAATGTAAAATTTTATAATTTGGCCTCTAGATGCACATTATCGGATGTAACCTTATAGGGTTACATAATATGTACCAAATTTCAGAACCATTAATAGACTTGACTGTGGATCTTTTCAAGGGTTCCCACATGGTGGGTGGGAGGGGCCATAGCCGCTCCGTTTTTTTGCCAATGTTTGTTTACTACAGTATATTTTTAAATGTTTCGTAAAATTTTAATAAAATTAAAATAGATCGATAATTGATTAATCATTAAGAGATTAGTGATACAATTGTTATGTGTGATAACGTGTTATTGTGAGCGTGGTCTAAAGCATTATAGTCATCTAAAATTCTAAAGTCTGATTGACATTTGACAGTTATCAATTTAATTTATATTAGATTCTGAACGAAGTAAGCCTAACTTAATAACCTAGGATAACCTAACCTAACCTAACGAAGTGAAATTCATAATAGTTTTTCTTTTTAAATCTAAGATTAGAAAATTTTTAATAATCTATAATATATCCTATAGACAGATAAAACGTCTCCGTTCAGAATCGTTTTTCGYATACAATGATACCTATCATTTTATTATTACTTCTTTTGAATTAACACTTCCATCTACTACATATGTAGCGTTGAAAAGTCTTTTAAGTTTGTATTACAATTTAATTTAATATATTGTTTTGTTTTTACTACCTACTTTWATTATTAATTATGTTTTATATTTGCCTTAAACTAGCTCGCTTAAACGACTTAAAATATGACTTCGTGGCTTGGCATTACGAGTAATGAATATTTACAAAACTTATTTGCAAGCTCAAAAATCAAACATAATAGATGAAATAATCAAATTATTTGTCATGGAGCCTAGGCGCATGCAATTTTTATTTAATGACCAATAATCTTAAAATTTTTATAAAATTAGATAGTTAATATAAAATATAAATAATGATTTATAAGATTTTTTTTCAGTGCTTTTGATGTCTCACATAATATTTTAATGAAAATATACAGTTAATCATATTATTATGGTGTCATCAGTTTGTTTACTAAGTTTGTAATGAAACTATAAAATAGTATACCTACTTAATAAGTTATAAATATATGTGTAATATACACCTTCCCCCTCCCGGGGAAAATTTCTGTGGGCGCCATTGGATCTTTTACACACACTCCCACTCACATATTAGCATATGTAGATGTAATATGATATAATTTAATATTTAATGCGTTTTACATAAGATCACCTATTATTTTATATATATTATAAAATAATAATTAAAATAATAACTATATTAATAAAACAATCGAAAATTAAATAGTTTTTTTTCTGTTAAAATGTTTCCCTTATTATATCATATTATATCTGTATGTTACGCTAATTGTGAGTGAGTAAGTGTGTAAGATACCCACAGCCAAGTCTATAACATCAACAATGGTTCTGAAATTTGGAACATAATGTGTAATCCTACACGGTTTCATTCAAAAATGTGCACCTCGAGGTAAAATTATAAAATTGTACATATAATACAAAATATTATATATATTGTAAAAATAATTTCTATCTGTCTAGTGTCTACTATATATTATGTTCTTTATTATTACAATGCATTCTAACTGCTATCTAATGTATATTTTTTTAAACAATTAATAAAGTAAATTTAATTATTATATATATAAACAATAAAGAATATGAAAGGAAAAAACGAAATAGTACCTATTTACCAGCGTGAAAAAGATCCAATATTTCACTTTTTTTTTTTACATGCAACACTTCAAACTTCAAATACTATAATAATACGCGTATTGCCAAGTTTAGGAGTTCATAGTTTCAACGGACGATAATTTAAAGATTATAATATTCAGTCCAATGTGCACGAGTTACGTGTATATAGAAAGGTACTACTGTACTAGTTTAAACACGTCATTGAACACGGGCCAAAATCATTTTAACCCCCCGAGTTTTAAAGTGCTTTAAAATTAATATTTTTAGTTTAGTTTTCGAGAGCATAACATAAAATATTACACCATCTAGTCCCGCTCGCTTGTAAATCACTAAAATAAAATTAGAGTTTCATTTTGAACATTTGAACTATATATACTATATATTAATATTAATATTGAATGTATATATAGTTATGATGGCGTAGCGTATACAATATTTTATCTCGACCGCGAATATACCTACGTATTAAATTAAAAAAGGGATTCATTGTGTGCGTCATAGTATACCAAGTTTTCCGAATGAAAATATGTTTTACTAAATGACAAAAAAAAAAAATACAAACATTGTACATACCTACCTAACGAATTCCAATGAGCCGACAACTTGTCGTCCGGTGGTTATAATTTGTATAGCAGCGACGTACATCGCGTGTCGTACCCAAGTCAAAAAGATATTGTCACCTCGTGTTTATATTGCCATTGTTCGACACGTTTGAACAAAATGTTTTTATACATATCTATACTCATGCACACACACACACACACACATACACAATATGACTTCRCACTATATTATATAGTGTTTTGTCGATTTTCTGTTTTTATTTTTTTGTTCCGGGACTTTATACTTTATACAATACTTAGATAAAAGTATAATATGCAGTCTATGGATATATATATATATAATTTTCAGTTATACTACAACTGTGTGCTATAACTACACAACATCTACCATATACTTTACACCGCCGAAACGAAGTTTCCAAAACCATTCTTCTCCGAAAGCAATTATTACAGTTCTCGCGTTACTCTCTCATATATTTAAGACGCTCGCGCACACCAGTTTTACGGCGGTCTCGCTCGAATTGCCGACGTAAACTACCGAGGACATCCGTCTTAATTCCACGGTCGCAGTTCCGGTGAACAGCGGCAAAAGTCACTGTTTATATCCCGAGAGCCCAACAACGCCGCTGCAGTGTAGTAGTATTTTGTAATGGGTGTAATGTACATACTTACTGTTTATTATTCGAGGCAGATCATTATTGGATAGTGTGAGTGTGTGTGTCTAATATATATATAATGACTTTTAGTACACGCAATAATCGTATTCTGAGATATAATAATAAATTGTAGGTACGCTGGAAAAATGCGCAATCACGCTTGGTCTGACCGTAAAAGTTGTATAACTTAACCTAACCCGATTACTTTATATTTAAATTAATATATTATTATAAAATAATATTAAAGTCTGACGGGTACCTAAATTATGACAATATAATAATTTATATAATAAATTTGGGTCAGGTTAGGTAAACGATTTAACGTACGGCGAACGAAACAATAATGACGATGATATTGTGATAACCATGCTTTTTGGAAAGGTCGTAAAAACATTTTAATATTTTACCACTGTTTATCCACAGGTTTTCTTTTATGAAAATTCCCCCAAGCAAACCCAGGTTAAGTGAAGCAATAGCTTTAGAACCTAAAAATTTGACATTTTTTAAGTGTTTCAGATTTCATCATATATTTTTTATTATATAGCAGCAATATAAAGTGTTGATTTACGCGCATTAAATCCAAAGTCTAATAAAACAWTTTCCCATAATTATTCTTTCCGCTTGTATAAAAATTTCACACAAAGGACTATTACCTATTATCGGTTTAATTTATAGATCAATAAAAATCTATTTTTAAACACATTTATAACTGATTTCCTATACCTGTTATCATGCCATCATATAGTAGAACGTCGCGTGTTGTATGACGTATGTCAATATAAACCTTAGATCATATACTATATTTCTATATAGTATAATATGATCTAAGATATAAACACGGTTAGGTATATACAAAACAATTCATCCACAATAATGACACTGATATTTGAAAAAAGTGTTTTGCTAATAATATTAATGTCAATGAAATAATAAATGATTAAAAAAAGGTTTAATCTGTATTTGCTCAGCAGACACAGTTAAAATTAATACAGATCAAATACATCGTAATATATTCACCAAAAAAATTATATGATAAAACATCTATTAATATTAATGTTATTTTGGACTTAATTTTGTTTAAATTAATAAACAAAAAAAAAAATGTATATGTATATATATAAACTCATAAACAAAGAGCAAGTAGTGATTGATTATCATGTATAATACAAATATAAATTAAGTTATGATTTAGGAGCAGTTTTACGATGATTCACAAATCATGATCAACGATAAGAAAGCATCTCTACGTATGGCTCAACTATATTATGTTATCACGGACAGTTTAAACGGAAGTTATTGAATTCAGCTGTTCGACCGTGTCAACGTTAATTAATTTAAGTGATGGTAAAAACCAATAGAATTAGTTGAATAAAGAGCCCCGGATAGTTTTAATTAAAAAAGCATAGCATATATAYAAATCGATTTGTAGTTATCTGGCCGTCTGGCTTTACAGTTTACAGCTTAGATTGACAATGAGTTTTATTTTGATTGTACCTACAACATACCAACCTACGATTTTTTGATTTTTATCAAATCACTGAAAAAATTGTATTTGAAACCAAATCCAAATAAAATATTGTTGTGTATTCAAAAAGAAAATCATAAACGTAATTATATTAATATAATAATAATGGTCCGTTGTAGAAAATGTACTTACGAACGTTTGAAAACYGTGTTTTATTCTTAAGTAGTTAAGTTTTCATATATAATTTAAAGTTCGAAGTTCGAACAATAATTATTTTTATTTTTATTATAAATAAAGCGTAGATTCTAAATTGTAGTTATCTTTATAACAATATATTAACCCTGTGCATAATTTAAAAAAAACATATTACAATTTAATATATTATACACGTACCTACCTACATATTATATTTATGCTTAATAAATTTTATTGTAGCTAAGTTAATTTGTTTTACTTCCTTTGTATTGTCGTAAAATGAATATGTTTTTAAGAGTTACCTACATAAATGGATGGACCTCAGAGCATAAAAGTTTTTATGTACATTAATTTCATTTATCTACATGCTACGCGTTAATTTACTATTCTTTTAAAGATGTCTACACAAATAAATTATTTATTAACTAGCGATTAACCATAAAAAGATAAGAAATATTTAGGAAAGTTAAAGAACGTGAATTACCTATMATTCGAATTTATTACAATATAATTTTAATAAAAGTAGGCACCACATAGATTAAGTTTAGTACTTCTATAATAAAATAATTAACTATGGATTTTTTTTTTTTGATTTTTAAAAACAATTTACATACCTATGACATTTGTTATCTTACACATTATTTTTTTTCAACGATTAACATGCWGTTGGTTGATAATTAAATACTATAAGTAGGTATATACCTCCCATATATAGGTACTTATTGAACTATGTGAGCATGTATTTTTAATTTAAAAATAATTATCTGAAGTTATGTATATTCTAGTGAACTTTATCTACAATTCAAGACGCGTCTCCATTGTTTTAAAAATATGTTCACTTTTATTAATTCCGATGAAATACGAAGTGCAAATATTGATAACAATTAAAGATGAAAATCAGAATTAACTCCRAAATGTATCTCAAATAAACTCGACTACTTATGTGTTTCTTCGATAAACCCTTCATTGTCACTTAGAGGCAAACTTTGTTTCTTTGAGGATACATTGAATTCAGTAAAGTAATAAGTAGAAAATTGTCATTCTTTTCATACACCTAATATGACCAGGCTTAGGAAACTTATATGTTGAAACCACATAAAACTTAGCGAATGAGGCGAGTGTACCCATTTCGAAGTGTTGTTTTTAAGTCGGATAACTTTTCTCTTTGGATTACCGTCGAGTGTATACTTCTCAAWAGATTTTGTCAGTTTTACCCACTACGCAATAAATAAAATAAAAGCAATATCTCTATAGATTATTCTCGGGGAAAAACTATATTGGTGGTTGATCTACACCTAAATTATTTCRAARTATATCAATATTTAACAGATATTTATCATCTAAAACAGTTAAAATAAATCATCTGAAACTCAACGACGGATTTACAAAGATTATGTATACCTACTCATGTTAAAAATAATTGAGCGTTAAAACACAGTTGAAAACCAACTCGCTTAGGACAATAATATTTTATACTGTTCTGGATTCCTATGGGATTTCAATTTGGTATCTATACATACAATATTATTATTTAATATGCATATACTGAGAATCATGTGTTTTTAACGATTGCTACTGATGTCGGCAGTTTGGAAGATTCGCAGAAATATACTATCATTTAAAACAACTACACGTTATGAATTACGAAAGTGGACTTACGTCGAGAAGCTCCAAGTCCTGAATTCTAGGTTCATAGTAACGGGTGTTTTGAACCACTGGTTCGTAGATAACAGCACTGTCACAGCACCACGTGACCACCACCAAAATCCAGGCGATCGTCAAAATCCTCATTGTGATGTTTTTACGAATTTCGGCGGCGGCAGCACTGAGCCACTGACAACGGTTTCTGCAAAGCTAATCAAAATATTCGTCTTACAGTGAAACACATAATATTATTTGTGTAATAATTTATAGAGCTACTATGTTGACTCGCGAACTGAATATAGGTAATAGTAAATTACAATTTCGAGATTTTCCGCTGTCTTTTCTGTACGGGCTCTGCGATTTATATTGTATTGTTACGTTGATGGGTAGTTAAAGTGCGTGTTATTTAAAATTTTTTTTTTTTTTTGTGAATAATTGTTATCTCGGACGCCCAGTTTTTCACGAAACCCCGGGCGACGCTATTTAATTTCCAACACTAATAACATGATTGTTACACCGTCGGAGGACAAGTAGTCCGCTACAATGACCRATGGTCTCATGATCGTTTGATGAAACCGCACACGGGTTAATTAATACAACGGTTTATATACTTAAAACAAACAACAATATTATTAATTCGGAATTCAAAAAACGCGAACTAGTTGAGACGACGACCACCGACCACCACACGACTAGAGTGAATGATTCGTTAGTTGTTACATGATCTGTATTAATATTATTATGTATTATAGATATATAAAATTGCCCGACCTTTGTGTTAACTCCCACAACCTTAATTTAGACATTATTATCGGAAAATGGCCTATTATATTTGTATACCTATCTAATCGTTACCATGAACATTACAAATTACAAATCTACCTACTATAAAGACAGATTGTGATAATATAATATACTCTATTATGCACAAAAATGAGCTAATGGACAATGACCCATATTTAAATAGACCTATTAAATTTAACGTAAAAAATAATGTATGAATATACCTAGTGGTAAACAAGTATTGAAAGATTTACCAATGTATCAATGTAATATTATTATTATCRCCTTTGGGATTTTGACTATTTCGTATTAAATATTTCAATCAAAATAATGCGCACATATATAAATATTGTGAATGTGTGTTACTATTTAATTTTATTGACAATAAATGTATTTAAAATA